TCCTAACGTGACCAAATAAGGAGGAGACTAAGCGACCCCCATTAGTATTTGTTTTTTGACAATAACTGATCCATATTCTTAAATAAGGTGGCCTAATTGAAATTTCCCACAAATGTTAGAAAGATGGGAAAATGTCAGAAGGCTATATTTCATAATCTTAGAGGCATAATTGAAAATTTCAAAGAGAAGTGCAGTTACTTTCACCGTCTGACATGCTAATAGTTAGCGTGTGTCATGATGCCCTCTCATTACGTTCGTGTGCTTGACGAGTTGTTGATGTATTACATGTGGTCATCTCTAAATACTCTGTGATACTGGTAATTACCGCTACTCCGTCATTGCAAGCAATGTGGGTTGTCTTTTAATGTGGGGGGGGGGGGAAGCTGTGAGTAGAACATCATGGCGTACATTCTGGCCGGTCTCTTAAAGATGTTAATCATACATCCTGGTATTCCGTTTGTAAATACTCTGTGATACTGGTAATTACCGCTACTCCGTCATTGCAAGCAATGTGGGTTGTCTTTTAATGTGGGGGGGGGGGGAAGCTGTGAGTAGAACATCATGGCGTACATTCTGGCCAGTCTCTTAAAGATGTTAATCATACATCCTGGTATTCCGTTTGGCCAATCTCTCATCAGCCGTTCGGTACTTCAACGTCGTGGCTCTTAACCTAGACGAAAACGTGTTTACAACTTTTTTTAAAGAAAGATTTAAGAAACAAAATGTTTTTGATATCTATACTGGAAAACATTGTTTGAAGCTGGTTTTGCGAAAACGTTGACTAAATATAGTAAAATTACGTAATACGATGTGACGTTTTCTGGTCTTAGAAATGAATAGCCCTATAATCTGACACCGCTAAATGATACAAATGAAGAACCCTATAATCTGACACAGCTAAATGATAGAAATGACAAACCCTTTAATCTGACACCGCTAAGTGATAGAAATGACAAACCCTATAATCTGACACCGCTAAGCGATAGAAATGACAAACCCTTTAATCTGACACCGCAAAGTTATAGAAATGACAAGCCCTTTAATCTGACACCGCTAAGTGATAGAAATGACAAACCCTTTAATCTGACACCGCAAAGTTATAGAAATGACGAACCCTTTAATCTGACACCGCAAAGTTATAGAAATGACAAACCCTTTAATCTGACACCGCTAAGTGATAGAAATGACAAGCCCTTTAATCTGACACCGCTAAGTGATAGAAATGACAAACCCTTTAATCTGACACCGCTAAGCGATAGAAATGACAAACCCTTTAATCTGACACCGCTAAGCGATAGAAATGACAAACCCTTTAATCTGACAAAGCAAATTGATAGAAATGACAAACCCTTCAATCTGACACCGCTCAGTGATAGAAATGACGAGCCCTATAATCTGACACCGCTAAGTGACAGAAATGACAAACCCTTTAATCTGACACCGCTAAATGATAGAAATGACTTTTAAGATCGATTGTAGGGGGTAAGTTTTTCTTAGTGTTTCAGCCCCCATTACAACCCAGAAATACAAAGAAAGTTAGCCTTACTAAAGATGGATATCTTCTTGGCTGAAATCGATACCCCTGCATGAAAAGAAAACCATTGACGCCCGACGCTGATCACCCCTTCTCATCGTGTTTTGTCGATTTAGTTTAAGCTTATCTTAACAAAATGCAACAAGAGATTAAAATAATGACAGAGTGACGAGAATAAAGAATGAGATGTGGATGTCACATGACTGGGAATGAGTGAAAGAAATCCACTAACACGTTTTAATCTTGACATATTGTTTTTATTCGTGACAATGTTTCAATCTTGACAAACGTTTTAAGCTTGACACATGCTTTAAACTTGACAAGATGCGTGTTGACATGTTGGCGAGACACGTGTTTTAACTTTGGCGAGACACGTGTCTGCACTTTGGCATGACGAAGTATTTTTAAAGTAAAAAAATAAAAGTAAAACAATTGCATTATTTTTCCTTCAAATAAGGGGGGAGAACTGCATTGATGTTGCTGATTGCACACAGTTTGTCTCAAGGGGAATTAAACATGTTGAAAGTATTGTGTTTGTTACTGTTTGTGTGTGTAAGTGTGTGTAGGTGTGTTTGAACCCTCTGCTCTGTAGTTCCAAGATTTTATAAGTATACTATTTAAGTACGAGGTGTGTTTAAGGTACATCAAAAAGAAAGCATTAAAATGCATTATAAGTTCTAAAATTGTCGTAATTTATCATTAAAACAGATTTGTGCGGAACAGATCCCATTTTATTTCACGAGCATGCAAAGGACAAAAAAACATGTAACTAAAAACGATCACAGTGCAAGAAATGTTCAACTTTCGACCAAATATCCTTAACAAATATCCTTAACAAATATCCTTAACATATATATCCTTAACAAATATCCTTAACAAATATCCTTAACAAATATCCTTAACAAATATCCTTAACAAATATCCTTAACAAATATCCTTAACAAATATCCTTAACGAATATCCTTAACAAATATCCTTAACGAATATCCTTAACAAATATCCTTAACAAATATCCGTAAAAAATATCCTTAAAAATATCCTTAACAAATATCCTTAACAAATATCCTTAACAAATACCCTTAACAAATAACCTTAACAAATATCCTTAACAGACACAAGAAATAATCCTGACACGGCCCTGACCTTGTAGGATAGTGTTCAAGTGGTTTTCAGCGGCGTACCTAAGAGTTAATGGCATGTGGCAGGCAGTTACATTACTCTCCAATCCAAACATCAGACGTCGGATGTTGAGGTGGAGACAGTGCCGTAGCAAGACAAATTAAAGTCGGCCTACTCGCCCATGGACCACCCGGGATACGCCTCCGTAGTCAAGGCAAACAATGGGCATAGCAGGTATAGCATCAGACCGATAAGTTCTAACACGCCCCCCCCTTCCCAAGCCCACATTTGTATGCTGTTTCTTCTACACCCCTGGTTACTAAAGGTTCAATGGTAATGGTGTACACCTAATAATGTTGCACTTCTGGCTATGTTGTATATCTAGTTATACTGTACCTCTAATACTGTTGTGCCTCTGATATGTTGTATATCTAGTTATACTGTACCTCTAATACTGTTGTGCCTCTGATATGTTGTATATCTAGTTATACTGTACGTCTAATACTGTTGTGCCTCTGATATGTTGTATATCTAGTTATACTGTACCTCTAATACTGTTGTGCCTCTGATATGTTGTATATCTAGTTATACTGTAGCTCTAATACTGTTGTGCCTCTGATATGTTGTATATCTAGTTATACTGTACCTCTAATACTGTTGTGCCTCTGATATGTTGTATATCTAGTTATACTGTACCTCTAATACTGTTGTGCCTCTGATATGTTGTATATCTGTTTATGGTTTATATCTGATTATGTTCTTTCTCCGATAATGTTGTACATCTAGTAATGTTGTATACCTGCTATGTTGCATATCTGGTAATGTTGTATATCTAGTAATATAGAATATCTGGTTATGTTGTATATCAGGTTATGTTGTATATCAGGTTATGTTGTATATCAGGTGTATCATACATGACATTTTAAAAAAATCACCGGTAAAATTGAGCAAGCAGTAAAGGCAACAAATTGTTTTCCTGTATGTTAAAAAATTCGAAATTCCTATGGAAGCACAAGCCACAAATGTCATAGAGAGAAGAACTTTAGACCAGAAATGAGGGATGCCTTCGTAAAATGTGTAAAGTAAATATATTTACATTAATGATCAGTTCACACGATCAAATTTTCGATCATACATTTGATGCGATTTTTGTATGAGACCTTGTCACAACTTTCAAATTACTCTTTGATCACATTCTCATTCGTGTCCAAATGAAGAAACAACGCACAACACAGGGTGTTCAAACGAAATTCGACGCGAATTTGACGCAAATTTGACGCAAATTTGACTAAAATTTGATGGTGTGAACTGAGCACTAGTCACTCAAGTTAAGCTAATCTTCTTTGAGTTACCTCCCTTTGCGGAGCTACAAAATTAATGAGGGAAGGAAAAAAAACATGAATTAAATGGACAAATAAATAACACTTAATATTTTAAGAACAAAAAGAAAACAAAATGTACATCAGAGCACCAGCAGTTTCAAATCAGTTAAAATCAGTTGTATATCAGTTACCAGCAGTTTTAAATGTGCACTGTAAAAAATGCAACATTTTTTTTTATTAATTTATTATTTTTTTTTTAAATTTTTATGGCAATTATTTATACGCAGAGTAATCGAGACAATGAAACATAAAGATCTGACCAAGACAAAGTATCAATACAATAATTAGTACATGTTTTCGAGAAATGCAACAGGCTGTGATGCTGCAACAGGCTGAAGCATAATATGCAGCCCTTGATGTGAAACAATGCGTCTGATTTGTGATTGCCTTCCATGACGTCCAAGCACACTGGATACATTTGTATTTGGAAGCTTAATGGCGTTGACCTTAGATAATATCCTTTTAGTACTGGCTACCTGTTATAAATTGATTCTAACATCATTTTAGCACTGGCTACTTGTGATAATTTGATTCTTATCTCCTTTTAGCCTTGGCTACCTGTCATAAATTGATTCTTACCTGCTGTTTAGAACTGGCTATCTGTTAAAAATTGATTTTTATCTCATTTTAGCGCTATCTACGTGTTATAACTTGATTCTTATCTCCCTTTAGCACTGGCTACCTGTTATAAATTGATTCTTATTTCTTTTAGCACTGGCCACATGTGAAAAGTTGATTATCTTATTTTAGCCCTTGCTACCTGTTATAAATTGATTCTTATCTTCTTATAGCACTGGCTACCTGTTATAAATTGATTTTTGTCTTCTTCTATCGCTGGCTACATGTCCAAAATTGATTTATTTTATCTCCTTTAGCGATGTCTACCTGTTATAAATTGATTCTTATATCCTTTTAGCACTGGCTACCTGTTATAAATTGATTCTTATCTCCTTTTAGCACTGGCTACCTGTTATAAATTGATTCTTATCTCCTTTTAGCACTGGCTACCTGTTATAAATTGATTCTTATCTCCTTTTAGCACTGGCTACCTGTTATAAATTGATTCTTCGTACGACGGTGGACTTTCAGGCGGGGGAGCACTGGGCCCTGATCCTCTTATGGGCCCCAGAGCCGTGGACGGTCCTGCTTGGGGGTGATAATCTTGCTGGTAAAATGGGGGATGCCTGAGGTCATATGGATACGCCGCTGCCTGTGGCGGTCCCGGGGGCGGATATAACGTTGCCTGAGACTGTCCCGATGGTGGATATGACATGGCCACTGCTGACGTTCCAGTGGCGAAAGGTCGGGCACTCGGATTCAAACGGTGCTGCGCGGCCGTGCGCTCTGACGGCCCAAACACGTTCTGACTTCTGCTCGTCAGGTTCTGCTGCGGTGTCTGGCTCCTGGAGCCGCTGGTGCTGCTGTTTTGAACTGAGCCAACTCTGCCGTTACGCTTGGCTCTTTCTTTATCCGAAAAGAAGCCGAAATTCCTGAGAGCCGGCTTCCTGGAGAGGATGACCAAAAATATCCCGAGAGCCGCCAAGGCTGTTGAGGCGGCTGACATGTTGAAGGACCATGACAAGAAGCCTGAGTCCGGTAATTTCAAGCCAAATATTAGAACACTGATGAAATGGAACAAAACTGAAAAGAAGAACATTTCATAAAATCATTTTTTGGCTCATTGTCACATAATGATTTTTTTTAAAATTGATATACATATAGCTTTTTAATTCATATTATCTCATTAAACGTCATTCTAACCTATTATTTCGCCATAATAAACCTACTGATGCGTCCTAACATCCCATGAGAACGCCCTAATATGAAAACGTCCCAATAACCCATGAAAACGTCATATTTGACAATGAATGACTAAGAAAAATGTTTTTATATACTATGTCAATATTTCTTTAGCATCAACACAGCTTCTGTCTCACCAAAAAAATAGAATGGCAAATCCATTTATATTTGAGTTGTACGAATCAATGAAGTTATGTTATATTTATGTAATCATGAGTTGTACGCATGACTTAAGTTATGCCATATTTATGTCATCATGAGTTGTACGTAAAAATGAAGTTATGTTGTATTTATTAATCATGAATTGTACGTATAAATGAATCTATGCTATATTTATGTAATAATGGGTTGTACGGATAAATGAAGTTATGTTATATAATGTATGTAATCATAAATTGTACTTATAAATGAAGTTAAGTTATATTTATGTTAACATGTGTTGTTCTTTCTGTCTATTCACCCGTTCGACAGATTCGCTCCTCCGCAGACACGCGTATTCTGTCCATTCCCAAGACACACACTAAAACATAAGGTGAACGATCTTTCTCTTTCTGCGCCCCTAAACAATGGAATTCTTTGCCACTACACATGTACCAACCACCCAGGCCTTCAAAACAGCACTCAAAACACATCTCTTTAAATTATACTACCCTGACTGATTCCCCTCCTCTGACTGATAAATGATCTTGTTGGCTGCCGTCCATGGTTTGCCTTGTAAAAGTCCTGGGGTTCATGCTGTTCTTTATTTCATAATTGCATTTGATTTTCATGTCATGATTATGTCTCTTTTGATAATAGTTTGATGTACAGTGCGGTGAGCCCAGCCCTAGGCTAGGGTACCGATCTATAAAAGACCACTAATTATTATTATTATTATTGTACGCATGAATGAAGTTATTTCATATAACGATACTCGTACTTGGCAAGCGAACGTTCAAAAGACAAACAGGATTAAATAAAGTTTGAATATATTTACCTCCTATAGAAAATCCTATGTCAAAAATTCTTGACTTGACTCCAGAACTTTTCTCCTTAACGCCACAGTAAACAAAAAATTGAATGATGGGCGATAGCACATACAGGACAATTGCAATGATTTGCAGGGCTTGTGTGGCCTTGTGGTAATCTAGGTTCAGGAGTGTAAAGGAGAAGAAAAAGATGGGAAATACAGATGTACACTGTGCGCGATTACAATCAAATTGTTAAAATAATAATAATAATAAAGTTCATTTCAAAAACACGCTTCATCCCCAAGGCTCGAAGCGCGGTACAAAGTCAACAAAAAACATATCTATAATTTACCACATTTAAAACAAACGTAACACTACAAAAACTAATTACAAGCATACAATGGCAAAGTCTTTCTAGCCATTTCAACCCTAAGCAACACAGCCATTATGCATTAATACACATTAAATAATGTTTGAAATTGCGTGAACCGCTGCTGAGAGTAATCTTTAATCAAAATGAAGACCCCCACATTCTCTTTAGCCATCTGCAACATTGCAGTATTTTCGCGAGTTCAAACGTTTGAGAACAACTGATAAAATAAATAAGCCCCCCCCCCCAACTCCTGCCACCTTCAGTGTGAATGTCAGTGAGTATGTGTAAATGTCAGTGAGTCAGTGTGAATGTCAGTGAGTCCGTGGGAATGTCGGTGAGACGGTGTGAATGTCAGTGAGTCAGTGTGAATGTCAGTGAGTCAGTGTGAATGTCAGTGAGTCATTGAGAATGTCAGTGTGTCAGTGTGAATGTCAGTGAGTCAGTGTGAATGTCAGTGAGTCAGTGTGAATGTCAGTGAGACAGTGTGAATGTCAGTGAGTCAGTGTGAATTATGTGAGTAAGTGTGAATTCTGTGAGTCAGTGTGAATGTCAGTGAGTCATCAAGTTAAAATGTTGTAAGGATAGCCATAACACCTGATTTCAAACCTACCTGGCATATCTGAGCTGAGGGCGGTACACGTTGGTCCACTGCAGATCTCCCAAAGCCCGAAATTGATGTTGCTTTTATTGGACCAATAGTTGGTGGCGAAGCCAATGAAGAAAAGAAGTCCAGCCAATAGAGTCACACCAATGCCTGACCGGAGCACCCACATCCATTTTTCCTCCGAGGTAGTCATGACTGGGGCTCACTTAGTAACAGATGTTCATTTTTAGTAACATTGTGTGTCCCAAGTAACTTGAAATGTAACTTGCGTCACGGGTTCTTGGGATGTATTTATAATTTTCGGCAATAATCGTAGGCAGGTGATCTTTAGGCAAACACGCTTAGAATGGCTTCCTGTAGGGAGATTTAACTTTTGAAAAGTTCATGAACAGATGATATTCAAATTCTTGGTTTCTAGTTCTTTCAGGCCTGAAAGAAAAAAAAATACAAATCGATAAAAAAAGATCCCAAGAATAAGACGTTGTTTTCCCTTCGTTAAAGATATTCTTGTCTTCTTGTTTTTATAAGTTTGATTCAGCATTCTTTTGATTCAGCATTCCTTTGTGTTACGCACTGACTTGTATTGGGAGAAATTAATCTCCTATTTTAATTTTGATTGGCTCGTTGTAAGCAGTGCCTAACAAAGGACGATACCATAGAATCAACAATATTAAAGATACGACCCAAAACAGTTTCTAGTTACAATTAATTAAGATTTATTATGTCTTAAGATAATTACAAATCCGGTACACAGTTAATACAATTAGAAATAATGATGCCAATAAATAATGCGAAATAAACACATATAAGTAGGAGCACACAAATACACAAAGAATAAAACACGCCTCGTAATGTTAAGAAAATCTATCTCAAAAATCTCCGTCCGTTCTCGTCCGTGCCTGTCAATCCCTTATATAGGTGGGTCTACCGACGCCTAAGCCCTGCTTTCGAAAAGTTACACGGCAGTTCTAGAACCATCAGAATGATTCTACAAAACACTACTTGGAACAGATTAATTATTTTTAGTGGCTAGCGGTGTAAACAAGAAATACATCAAAGACCTAAGCCACACCCCTTTGTGAGCACAGCGTCTCATGCGGGGTCAATCAGAGGGCACGTACGAGAAATATTGTGTAAACAAGCTCTCTGTAACACTTTGATTCAGCATTCTTTTGATTCGGCATTCTTTTGATTCAGCATTCTTTTGATTCAGCATGCATTCTTTTGATTCAGCATTCTTTTGATTCAGCATTCTTTCGGATTGGTGCTGGTGAACAGTTTGTTTTTCATTTTAAAAAAAATATTTTATTTTCATTTAAAAGGAATTGTTACGTAGTTGAAACATTTTTTTTTTAATTTTAAAATTTCAAAGCGATAACATTCACCTTATGCGACAGTACGTGAATGTAATATAGGGGTAATATGGGGGAGGACTTCGGTCAGGTTGAGGTCATAAGAAACGTACACAGGGGTGGGGAAAGACCTAAATAAGAAAATGTGGACTTATGTTTGGTACCCTTAATTTCATAACAAATAGTTTTCTGTATCAACAATAAAGTGAGGACCTCTGTGGTTGGACATCCGGGGGGTGGTGGGGGGGGGAGGAAACATTCAGTAAAAGTGGACTCAGGGTTTCTTTCAGCCATCTCAAGTGCCCTCCCCCCCCCCCCCCCCTCCCCCCCCCCCCCCCCCCCCCCCCCCTAAAACAGGATATAGATTTTATATCAATATTGGAAAAAGGAGACTAAATTTTCAATTTTAATCAGTTTTCAGAAGAATAGTATCTGGTGCCTCTAACCGATAACAATTAGTAGAATCTATGAAATATCGCTATGTACGATATATTTGATGATCCGTATATATAAGGCTAATCTTGTTCAACCCTTACAGTATTCGATTATAAATATCGTACCTGCCGTTCCTGATTATAAACCGGAGACTTACCTCCCGTTATTCGCACTTATCAGTTGTTGTTGTTTTTTCATTCATTTATTTTTAGCAACTTCACAAATTTAAAGGTTTAGATACCACTGTATTAAACTAACTTACAATCACTTGCAATGTCTACAATTCTAATAATAGTTCTTGCCATGTATTAAACATACCCAATATATGTTCAAATTATATTTCATTATAAAAGCATGACTTTTAAAGTAGGGATGGGTGTTTAGTTAATTATAAATTGTATGATGTTATTAGGCTAAAAAAATATATTTTTATTAGCATAATTATAAATATAAATGTACTCGATTCAATGAATTTTGAGGTATATAAAATTGAACTTTAAAAAAAAAAAATTAAGTTATAGCTTTGTAATTAATTAAGATTGTAACGGACACATACAAATAGTGGACATTTCATCATTTATTACATCGAAAGCGTTTAAGTTTTGTTTAAATGTGTTATTTTTGTAACAAATTTTCCTGAATAACAGAGGTTTAAAAAAATAATTAGCCTATAATCATTATATCCCCAACTTCTTTTGTCTTTTTTATATAAGATAAATAAAACAAACGCCCACATTTGTGTACATTTTAAAACAATTAATTTTTTTCTTCTAGCATTCTGATTAGGCAGTGCCTAGACGTCCGGCGACAGGCCAAATAGTGCCGGAGATTTTCTTCCGGCGGGCAGGTCATGTGACCGCCGGACGACTAGTATGTGTCATTATTCCGGCAGCAATGTCGTGTGACAAGAGGTCGCCTGCAAAAATAAAAAAAATACGTTATCTTGTTTAAATATTTTATAAAGCTCTACTTAGTAGCCTATATTAAAAAATATGAACCAATGAAAATAAGACCAATACTTGCTAGTTGACTGCAATAGATCTACTGTCAAAAAAGTTTTATTTTAGACTATTAATATTTATGTATTTATTTATTTAGGCATTTTTATATAGCGCTTATCATAAAGCTCTAAGCGCTTTACAGTTATTAAAACATGTAAACTAAGTAAATACAATAAATAAAATAATTAGCCTATAATCATTATATCCCCAACTTCTTTTGTCTTTTTTATATAAGATAAATAAAACAAACGCCCACGTTTGTGTACATTTTAAAACAATTAATTTTTTTCTTCTAGCATTCTGATTAGGCAGTGCCTACACGTCCGGCGACAGGCCAAATAGTGCCGGAGATTTTCTTAATATTGCGTGAGAAGAAGCTACCCCAACAGCACAATACTTGCTGGCATCCGTCCGTCACAATTTGACGATGGAGTGGGCTTCGGAGGACGAAATCCACATGCCCTGGGATTATACTTCAAGGATTATAAGCTGGTTCCCAACAGCAAATCGCATCTCTCCACGCCGATGGATAACCCAAGGGAACATCATTGGATGATACAGCTTTGCACCAGTGACTCGCAGGAGTTGTCGGAATGTTTCATCGTATCTATGTTATCCGCCTTTCGGGACTCCTTTCGGGTTTGATTTCATAGTTTCCATCTCTTCGATGAGTTGCCATCCAAGGTTAACGAGTCCCATCTACCCGGGGTGCTTGACTGGTCTCTGGCTGGAACTTGGGATTTGCTCAGTTTAAACCACTCGGCCACCCAGCACAAAACTATTTGCCCTATATTTGCCCTATATTAAGATGCAGGGTCTATTTCTTTGTGACCTTTCGACCTCCCCGACTTAACTATTTATTACCCTCACTATCATTTTTATCCATTCTCTCTCGCTCTCAGTATTTCTTCCTTCTAGTATGCATTGCACGCCCCCCCCCCCCCCCTTTTCTTCCCCACATACTTTTTTTTCCCCCCCCCCCCCCCACCCCCCCCCCCCCCCCCTTGCCTCTCCGACGCCAGTTTTATGATCGACTATAAGCGGTCATGCGACAAGACTGACGAACAAATATCTCGCCCAACTTTGTTACGACAGTCGTGTGACCTGGTCGCCGGACGACTATCTCGAGAATGATGCGACCGGTCGGCGGACATGTAGACATTTCGTTTCGATTACCTTGCTAATTCCATTTTTGTTGGTACTTGTTTAGAAAAAAACATATTCCTAATTTGTCAATCTAAAATAATTTCTGTTGATTTGGGAATAAAATGTTTTAACTTATATCTCAGTGGCAATTTTTAAATTTTCTGAAAAAGGTTATAGTAGTTTGAAATTCCAAATACTTCATTCAACTGATTAGTGGGTCGTGGTGTCATGTGACTGAGTCTTGTTCTGTCATTGGAGACAGAGTTCGTCCACAATTATTAATTTATTAAATGTTTTTGTGAATGTTTTTTTCTCATCTCGTCAACAGATTTAACGTTTGATCAAATTATGGGCTTAGCCAAATGTGGTGAGGATTAAACTTCAATTCAATAATGGGCATTTGCTCATGTGTTTAGTGTTAACCTTCAATCAAATTATGGGCCTTGGCCAATATGTTGATTGCTAAACGTTGGCATTGTGACCAATTTATGTTAACGAACCAGGAAATTAATCTTATTCCGGGATGATTATTGGTTAGAGGATCTTTTATATTTAAAAGAAAACGAGTCTAAAATAAATTTGAAAGAACCATAAATCATCCCTGATGCTAGTGTGACAGAGATTATAATATCCCTTATACTAGTGTGACAGATATTATAACATCCCTTATACTAGTGTGACAGAGATTATAACATCCCTTATACTAGTGTAACTGCGATTATAACATCCTTTATACTAGTGTGACAGAGATTATATCATCCCTTATACTAGTGTGACAGAGATTATAACGTCCCTTATACTAGTGTGAAAGAGATTACAACATCCCTTATACTAGAGTGACAAAGATTATAACAACCCTTGTGTTAGGGTGACAAAAATTATAACATCCCTTATACTAGTGTGACAAAGATTATATCATCCATTGTGCTAGTGGTACAAAGATTATAACATCCCTTAAACTAGTGTGACAAAGATTATAACATATCTTGTGCCAGTGTGACAAAGATTATAACATCCCTTGTGCTAGTGTGACAAAGATTATAACATCCCTTATACTAGTGTGAAAAAGATTATAACATGCCATGTGCTAGTGTGACAAAGATTATAACATCCCTTATACTTAGTTTGACATAGATTATACCATCCTTTGCGCTAGTGTGACAAGGATTATAACATCACGTATACTAGTGTGACAAAGATTATATAATCCCTTGTGCTAGTGTGACAAAGATTATAACATCCCTTATACTAGTGGGACAAAGATTATAACATCCGTTGTGCTAATGTGACAAATATTATAACATCCCTTATACTAGTGTGACAAAGATTATAACACCACTTGTGCTAATTTGACAAAGATTATAACATCACTTGTGCTAGTGTGACAAAGATTATAGCATCCCTTGTGCTAGTGTGACAAAGATTATAACATCCCTTATACTAGTTTGAGAAAGATTATAACATCCCATGCGCTAGTGTGAGAAAGATTATAACATCCCTTATACTAGTGTGAGATAGATTATAACATCCTTTGTGCTAGTGTGACAAAGATTAAAACATCACTTATACTAGTGAGACAAAGCTTATAACATCTTTTGTATGATAAAGCACTATTGTGGCCTATACGAAGTATGATAAAGTGCAATTGCGGCCTTTAGGAAGTATGATAAAGTGCAATTGTGGCCTATAGGAAGTATGATAAAGCGCTATTGTGGCCTATAGGAAGTATGATAAAGCTCAATCGTTGCCTATAGGAAGTGTGATAAAGCGCTATTGTGGCCTATACGAAGTATGATAAAGTGCAATTGTGGCCTATAGAAGTATGAAAAAGCACTATTGTGGCCTATACGAAGTATGATAAAGCTCAATTATGGCCTATAGGAAGTATGATAAAGCGCTATTGTGGCCTATAGGAAGTATGATAAAGCTCAATTATGGCCTATAGGAAGTATGATAAAGCGCTATTGTGGCCTATAGGAAGTATGGTAAAGCACAATTGTGGCCGTTAGGAAGTATGATAAAGCGCAATTGTGGCCTATAGGAAATATGATAAAGCACTATTGTGGCCTATAGGAAGTATGATAAAGTGCAATTGTGGCCTATAGGAAGTATAGTTAAGCGCAATTGTGACCTATAGGAAGTATGATAAAGCACGATTGTGGCCTATAGGAAGTATGAAGTGCAATTGTGGCCTATAGAAGTATGGTAAAGCGCAATTGTGGCCTATAGGAATTATGGTAAAGCGCAATCGTTGCCTATAGGAAGTATGATAAAGCACTATTGTGGCCTATAGGAAGTATGGTAAAGCGCAATTGTGGCCTATACGAAGTATGATAAAGTGCAATTGTAGCCTATAGGATGTATGATAAAGCGCCAATTTTGGCCTATAGGAAGTGTGATAAAGCGCAATTGTGGCCTATAGAAAGTGTGATAAAGCACAATTGTTGCCTATAAGAAGTATGATAAAGCGCTATTCTGGCCTATATTAAGTATGATAAAGCACAATTGTTGCCTATAAGAAGTGTGATAAAGCGCTATTCTGGCCTATAGGAAGTATGATAAAGCTCAAGTGTGGCCTATATGAAGTGTGATAAAACGCAATTGTTGCCTATATTAAGTATGATAAAGCACAATTGTTGCCTATAAGAAGTATGATAAAGCGCTATTGTGGCCTATATGAAGTATGATAAAGCTCAAGTGTGGACTATATGAAGTGTGATAAAACGCAATTGTTGCCTATATTAAGTATGATAAAGCACAATTGTTGCCTATAAGAAGTATGATAAAAAGCTATTCTGGCCAATAGGAAGTATGATAAAGCTCAATTATGGCCTATAGGAAGTATGATAAAGCGCCATTGTGGCCTATAGGAAGTATGATAAAGCACTATTGTGGCCTATACGAAGTATGATAAAGTGCAATTGTGGCCTATAAGAAGTATGATAAAATGCATTTGTGGCCTTTAGGAAGTATGATAAAGTGCATTTGTGGCCTATACGAAGTATGATAAAGTGCATTTGTGGCCTATACGAAGTATGATAAAGTGCATTTGTGGCCTATACGAAGTATGATAAAGTGCAAATCTTGCCTATAGGATGTATGATAAAGTGCATTTGTGGACTATAGGAAATATGATAAAGTGCATTTGTGGCCTATAGGAAGTATGATAAGGTGCATTTGTGGCCTATAGGAAGTATGATAAAGTTCATTTGTGGCCTATAGGAAGTATGTTGAATCGCGAAGCTGAGATTGGATCCAAGGATTTATAATAAGTTAGTTTAACTTATGATGGTCATCTAACTCGTACGTCAGAGGGGCCAAAGGTTTTGGAGGCTTAACGATGTTAGTAATTACTTAGCTATGACTTCAGTAAATTATCTATTGAAAAACATTGTCTTTAATTGCATTCTATCTGCAGTCTAAGCTAAATACCGCCAATCAAATTGTCTCTTGACGTATTTGAATAAGCATATTTGGGATCAGGGCATACATTGGGTCATGGCAAACTTGGGATCAGGGCATACATTGGGTCATAGCATAAATGATGTCATGGCATACATGGTGTCATGGCATTCATGGTGTCATGGCATAAGTGGTGTCAGGCACACATGGTGTCATGGCATAAATGGTGTCATGGCACACATGGTGTCATGGCATAAATGGTGTCATGGCACACATGGGATATGGCATACATATGATCATGTCTTACATGGAGCATACTTTTGGTCATGACATACTTGGGGTCATGGCATACATGGTGTCATGGCATACATGGTGTCATGGCATACATGGTGTCATGGCATACATTGTGTCATGGCATACATAGGGTCAAAGCATACTTGGGGTCATTTCATACAAGGGTAATGGCATACATGGGGTCACGGCATACATGCGTTCATGGCATTTAGACAACTGTAGTCATTAGAGCTGATCAAACATTTATGATAAATATTGTTAAAGGGTGAAAATGGTCGCTCACTATCTCAGTTATTTGGCCCAACATGTAAGAGATTCTCAATGACATTTCTTTTGTAACATGTATATGATTCTAAGTCTTTTTTAAAACAATATATATTATTTATGAAGAATTGACATTGTGTAATAAATGGGAAATATAAGTCTTTGACCATTTCATGAGGAGGCAACCGATGTTTATTGAAAAGTGTCAGCCTCCAAGACCCATGTATCATGTCTTCATCATGCCTGCATCATGTCATTATTTTGTTTGTATCATGTCTGCATTATGTATGTATAATATGTGTATCATGTCTTTATCATGCCTGTATCATGTCATTGTTATTATCTGTATCATGTCTCTATCATGTCTGTATTATGTGTGTATCTTGTCTGTATGATGTCTGTATCATATGTGTATCACGCCTGTATCATGTCTGTAACATATCTTTATTAATTATGTATCATGTCTCTATCATCTGTGTATCATGCCTCTGTCATGACTGTAACATGTCTGTATCATAAATGTAACATGTCTGTACCATGTCTGTATTAAATCTGCAGTAAGACAACTAGACCAATGTGTACACACCACTAGAGACCACTCCACAAGCAACCTGGCGGTATTATGGCTGCCTTTGACTGTATCACGTCTCTATAATTCCTATATCATTTCTATGTCATGTCTGTACCAATGTGTACAGTGTACACATCACATGCGTCGCTAGAGACATCTCCAGTCATAACCTGACGGTATTATGAAATCTCCAACCATGCATAAACAAAGACAAAATGTCTTGAAACCATTCAAATGACCACGGCGACCCAATCAAAAAATCAATCTCTAGCCTTGACAATAAGATTGAGGTGTGTCTTGGGGCACAGGTAACCCGTTTATTGATCTAATTCCGATCAGTTTAGGTAGGGTCGTGACGTACGACAGAGTGCCCCATTACGCCGTAGGCATGTAGACAATGCGCTGCGCGGTCACAATATTGATTTTGATTCGAACATGGGATTAATGTGGGTCTAAATAAAGGTCGGCCCGTGAAAGGCAGCTCTGACATGGCACGAGGTCTGATGCACTCGCGTAGGAAGGGTTGGGCGCAGTGTTACTCCGCGGGACATTTCAGATTTTCAGGGGGCAGTGCAAGGCTAGAGGCGTAGATAAAGGGGGAAGAGTGGGACATAAACCCCGTGTGAGGGAGTATTTGGGGCGCCAAGGCGGTGTTATTTGATGAATGAAAATAATGGTTTTCTTAGTTGAGGGGCGTAAAAATGAATCTTGTCCCATGGCGCCAAAACACTCCCGCTACGCCTCTGAAATGGGGCGAGTGGGATAGGCCACCTAGGTGCCACTTATTTATATGGAGGGGCCGTGTTTTATGACATCTTCAGAGTTTGTATCGCGACGTTAATCTTGTCCAGGGTGGCACTGACACTAGCCATTCCACAAAAAAATGTATCTATCAGCACTGACACTAGCTACTCCACTAGGCAAGAGTCTGGGCGACGGATCATGTCGCTAAATGCCAAACATAAGCTGAACTCACTCCGGTTGTGGCGCGCCCAAGGGGAATCATTTTGCACAATCATATAGTCAATCACGTTCTGTCACACTGATCAACGTGAGAGAAAGGGGTGGGTGCATGGGTGGAGAAATGAATGGTGCCGAAAACTGATGCATTTTGGCGCACACTTGAATTCGCTTTTTCTATCCTACAATTTTGAGGGGGGGGGGGTTCTTTCTGGTGGGAAGCTCCCTCAATGGCTATTTAAGGTTCAGTGATATCTCTAACTTCACCAGAGCCCAACATGAACTAAATGAATGCCAATTGTCGCGCCCTTGAGGATATGCTTTTTGCCCTAGCTTATTCTCCCTCTTCAATATTTACGATCGCCACATGTATATGTGTGACTATGTGTAAACATGCCAAAATATATTATATATATAAGGGAAAGCATGTTGGGCAAACTGCAGAGCCTTTATTTTAAAGGGGCGGCAAAAATCTTGTCACCCCCCGGAGGCCATTAATCCTACGGACGCCAATGTTTTAATGCTACTGATATTAACTCAGTAAGTCACACATAGTTACACATAATCACACTTAGTCATACATAGTCACATATAGCCATAGATATTCACATTTAGACACCAAATCACACATAGACACAAGGTCACACATGATGTTAGTGGTCTAACCAACCATTACCACATAATGTAAGTTGTCTAACCAATCAGTACCACATAATATTAGGTGTCTAACCAATCAGTACCACATAATTTTAGTGATCTAACCAATCAGTACCACATAATTTTAGTGGCCTGCCGAATCAGTACCACATAAGGTAATTGGTCTACCCAATCAGTACCACATAATGTTAGGGGTCGAACCAATCAGTACCACATAATTTTAGTGATCTAACCAATCAGTACCACATAATATTAATAATCTAAGCAATCATTACCACATCATGTTAAGGGTCTAGCCAGTCAGTACCACATAATGTTAGTTACTAATGTAGCTATATAATTAATTTAGGTACTAGTGTCTAATTAAGTAAATAAAAACAAAAGGAACTTCTGGAGTGAAGTATCCAAATAACATTATAGAATACACACATGTAAATGTTATACACCTGAAAATGGGGTGAAGGTTGTTCATCCGCTTTACACTTAGAAACAATTTAACACAATATAGAATTGATAACATTCCTTCAGTTATAGCGAAAAATAAGGGTAATTATCCATTACCCATAAACAAGTCGTATCTTCAAAATGTAACGAGAACACTTCACCAAGAACACTTCATCAAGAACTCTTTATCAAGAACACTTCAACAGGAACACTTCACCAGGAACAATTCACCAGGAACACTTCACCAAGCCACTACCAAGATCCAGCTATTGCAACATCCTTCTCCGAGTCAAATCATTGCCGGGATTAGCTGTTACACTTACATTACCCCCACCCTCGAAATCAACGAATCTCCCCCCCCCCTCCCATCCACCCCCCGCCTCCTTTTTTTACCACGCATGAGCCATTGTCTCCGATCCCTACTTTTCATGCCTCATAGCCTACTTTACACTTCAAATACCAAGCACCTCTAGTCTCAATAGCTCCTAGACTTAAATAGCCCCCCCTCCCTCTTTCCTCCCCCCCCCGCCCCCCAATCCCACTGCTTGACCTTGCACTTTAATATTGCCACATTTCTTTGCCAGTAAACATATTGCCTATAATAATACAATAAATTCCTTGTCACAGCGCGCAGCGATCTAATCTTGCCGTTGTAACGTGAAATAATCCTTTATCGGCTATACAAAACGAACCAAGACTTTTTTTTAATTACTTTATATAGCACACTTTAGCGTTAAGAGAAGAAGTAAGCTTATCTGACTACTTGTCAAAAGCACCGGCATGTATTGAAAACCCAACCAGACCACAGGCTTACAGCGCTAAAGCAATGTCAATGACGCCGTGTCGGTTTCCAGGAAAGGCAAACCTTTTCTTTGTTCAAAACGAAACAAGCCATCACCAGGGAAACCCCGATTGTTGGGAGACTCGATCACATCGTGAACCGACTTGTCCAATCCCGTCCACGACCAAAGGAGCGAGAAACGGTTCGTGATATCGATTTGAATATACGTGATCAATGTGTCGGTAGTCGATTGTCAGCCATGTCATTCTTGTGATTAGTCAACCAACAACTGATGGTTTAAGTCATTTTGCCAATGACATCGATGAAAAGTTATGATGAAGTTTCCTCTGAGTTGATGATGGTCAAGGTAACTGACCTTAATGTCGCATGGCTCGTTTCTGGTACCTTAAGTCCTTTGTTGGTTGTCCAATGACAGTTGTCATTAGCTAGTTGTCCGATGACAGTTGTCATTAGCTAGTTGTCCAATGACAGTTGTCATTCGCTAATTGTCCGATGTCAAGTTGCCCTCTGCTAGTTGCCCGATGTCAGTTATTTCGAGCTATAGTTGTAAGAAGTCCGATGTCAGTGTTCTTCTATACTAAAGGTCCAACGTCAGTTTTACCATGTTATTTATTGTCGTATCGCAGTGGCTTGTGTGTCTTTAAGTTAATCTCAGGATCTGGGTGAACTTCCCGCAGTCATTACCTGAGATTATACACTGGCCCATTTTTATATCCGTTACTGGCGCAGGGTTAAGTACGGTAAACATGAACCTCCTTGACTGTTACCCACTCCACTCCTCCGACATACACTCTCTCTCTCTCCTCCCCAGACTGATAGCTCACTACCCCTCAGATTCATACCCTCCACACTCTTCAGACAAATAACCTCACTACTCCTCAGACTGTTCATAATGATACCATCCTCAATCCTCTTACTGATACCCTCACAACTCTATTCTTCAGACTGATACTCTCCCTTAGACTGATACCATCTCTCTCAGGCCGATACCTTCATACTCCTCAGACTGAAATCCACCCTATTCAGAATGATACCACCCCTACTCAGACTAACCCCCCTCTCTCTCTGTCTCTCTCTCTCTCTCTCTCTGTCTCTCTCTCTCTCTCTCTCTCTCTCTCTCTCTCTCAGATTGATACTCTCCATACTCCTCAGACTGATACCTCCCAAATCAGACTTTTTCTCTCTCAGGCCGATACCTTCATACTCCTCACACTGAAATCCACCCTATTCAGAATGATACCACCCCTCCTCAGACTAACCCCCCTCTCTCTCTCTCTCTCTCTCTCTCTCTCTCTGTCTCTCTCTCTCTCTCTCTCTCTCTCTCTCTCTCTCTCAGATTGATACTCTCCATACTCCTCAGACTGATACCTCCCAAATCAGACTTTTAACGTCCCTACTCAGACGGATTACCTCTACAGACCATACCACTACATTTGTAAAAACAGGAAATAGATTCCATTACTGTACCACAAATAGAGACGGTGATACGAAGCAGGCTTTTTTTTGTTGTCCGAGCTCTGCTCCAGAACGTCCAGGACAAACGTTGGTCAGAAAAAAAAACTCCGCTCCAAGCTCCGGGAAAACTAAAAGGGCACTGGGGGTTTTCGAGGGGAGTCCTAAGTGTTTAAATCAGGGGCGTTTACACATGTGGTAAGGAAGTGGCTGCTCCCAATCTAAGTTGCTCCCAATCTAAGTTGCTCCCAATCTAAGTTGCTCCCAATCTAAGTTGCTCCTAATCTAAGTTGCTCCCAATCTAAGTTGCTCCCAATCTAAGTTGCTCCCAATCTAAGTTGCTCCCAATCTAAGTTGCTCCCAATCTAAGATGCTCCCAATCTAAGTTGCTCCCAATCTAAGTTGCTCCCAATCTAAGTTGCTCCCAATCTAAGTTGCTCCCAATCTAAGTTGCTCCTGCTTTAGAATCTCTCCAGTTGACGCAATAAAAATGAGCGAGTGTTTATATTTGTGTCCTTCCCATATTACTTTGTTTAGGCGTGGGGGATACACGATAGGATAAAAAAAGGTTAGAGATGTGTTTATGTTATGTTTATGAGCTGAACTCCAATCCTCTGGAACGGCTTGACTAATATTTTGACCGCGTGAACCTAGATAGAGTTTTAAGAATTAAAACTAACTTACACTTAATCGCCAACTAAAATGCATTTTAAAAAGTAATGACTGGTTTTGATAATCTGTAGATGACAAGGGCGCAGAGTACAGCTGTCGCTAGTCACTGTGTTTTACACGGTGTTAGTCATGGTGTTAGTCACGGTGTTAGTCATGGTGTTAGTCACGGTGTTAGTCACGGTGTTGGTCACGGTGTTGGTCACGGTGTTAGTCACGGTGTTAGTCATGGTGTTGGTCACGGTGTTGGTCCACGGTGTTATTCACGGTGTTATTCACGGTTTTATTCACGTGTTATTCTCGGTGTTATTCACGGTGTTATTCACGTGTTATTATCGGTGTTATTCACGGTGTTATTCACGGTGTTATTCAAGGTGTTATTCACAGTGCTATTCACGGTGTTATTCACGGTGTTATTCACGTTGTTAGTTACAATGTAACTCACGGTTTTATTCACGGTGTTATTCGCGGTGTTATTGACATTATTAGTCACAGTTTAAGTCACGGTGTTAGTTACCATGTAAGTTATGGTGTTATTCACGGTGTTATTCACGGTGTTACTCACGGTGTTGTTCCGGTGTTATTTCTCGGTGTTATTCATGGTGTTATTCACGGTATTATTCATGGTATTATTCACGGTGTTCGTCAAGGTGTTACATGTCTACATGAGAAATAAAGGTCTATCATGTCAGGGTGCAGGATCTCAAACGAAACAAGAAACATTGACATCAGAATCATGGCCGCCAGTAAGAGACATCGACATTTTAATATTCCATGATGTATACAGGAAATATCTCAAGTTGGTGGCCTGGCGTTCAACTCCAGCTAGAGCCCAGTCAAGCAAAAACACCACCAGCCCCCCCCCCCCCCCCCCCCCCCCCCC